TATTCATTTTATTGTATCTGTTGACCTATATTAGTGAAATGATGCAAGGATTAAGACTTCAAACATCTTCAGTGGAAAGTGCTTTTTAAAAATCTGACGTATTTTGGCAGTTTCAAGTGCTGTAAAAGTCAAGCTCCTTCAACCTCCAACCCTAACATGGTGTTTGACTGCCTATCTTTCTACCCAAAGTGTTTTTATCCATATACTAATAAAGCCACATGGAAAACCGTACCTTTCAACTTCATATAATTGTAGTTAATTTATTAATATAAAAACCTGAACTACACAAAACTCCTCTTCATGTACCCGTTTGCATAGCTATATTTGAAAGAAGTTTTGTATTCTTTTGTGTTCTTTAATCTATTGTTTAGAGAAATTGCTGTTTCATTTCACAGTTAAAAGAACTTAATTACTTGAATCACAGAGACATGAAAGGCAAGGAAAGGAAAGAAAATATCTCTCATTTTAAACTCTTCTTTCATGAGCTAATTTGATAGTATAACTTGAGAGTCCAAAATCTACTTCTGAGCATTTGAAACTTCGTATCTTCTAACCTCTCTCAAGAGATATTACTCAGGTTTAGTGTGACATTTTGAAATGTCACCATCCCTGTCTCAAAACCAGAAGTTTTAATGCAAAATAGACACCTAACTGCTTTAATTCAGAAATCCGTTCTATATGTGATATGATATTCTAAGAACCTCTGTGCATACTTTTTCTCATTCTACGGAAAAAAAAAAAAATCACTTCAGGAATCTTTTTCCTGTCCAAATAAACAGGAACTGCTATAATCAATGGGTAAAGTCACTTTCCAAAAAGCCTTATTATTCTGATACAGCCACAAATTTTGAATCAAAAATATTGGGGGGGGGGGGGAAGATATTTTCCCCTGAAATACACTTTTGCCATGTCAAGAAAATAACAGTGTTTTCTCAGTAAAGACAGTTTTGCTGAAAGGCTGAAGTGGGAAAAAGTGGTAGTACTTGCCAGAGATCCACCCCATCTCCACATCTCATCCATTTGCAGCACCAGAGCAATGGCACCCATGGGATCGCTCACAATCACTAACGTGGTTCTTGTTCCAGCATAATCTGATAATCATCAATATTAGACTTCTACTAGTATGTAATCAGTTTTAACATCTACATATGGCATTCTGTAAGCTACTGCTAAATTTACAAGCAAACTAACATCTAGGTTCTTTAGAGAGTTTAAAATGATTACGTGCAAAAATGTTCAATTTGGAAAGTACCTATGAAAGGGATTAATCTATCCTTTTCTGGTCCAGTCCCTTGATTTGGTAAAGTATCACTGACAGGCTGTGAGATTTGCTTAAAACATTCTCTAAAGTGAATAGGCACGTTTTAGGCCTAGAAGTCTTCTAACAGTGTGCTAACACATTTGTACAGCCAAGATGCAGATTTTCCTAAATACCAAAACTGAAAAAAACATCAGCTACCATCAGTGCCATAAACAAGGAGTTGTCACTCAGACATCATTCACCATATAAGGAAATTAAGGAAAAAAAAGGCCATAATTATTATGCAGGATATAAATAATACTGGAAATGATGATCAAGAGTCTTCATCAGCTGATGGGTATCTGGCTGTCAGAGCAAAACACGCAGGAACACAGAACTGAGAATTTTTCCAGTCACTGATCCCAGCAATAATCAGTTCTCCTTTTTACAGTTTAACCTTTACATTGGCTTGCTCCACAGCTCCCAAAACCCTTAGTCCAGAAGTAAGTGGGTTTGAAGTATCTCAGTAGTTTTCCTTTCCACAAGTTTATTAATGGCTAGTTCATACTGCAGGGTCCTGGTGCCTGATCTGTCCTTAAGATTTAATATTTCTTCTTATTCCTGCAAGATCTCCCAATCACACCAACACAAAGAACCACCAGTATTTGCATTTCTGCCACTAAGGCAGTGCAGTCCCTATACCAGCCCAAATCTCTTCTTTCTGCAGGAGCGTTCGGACTCTTCCCCCTCCAGTATTCCATGTAAGAACCACTGCCCTTGCAGGCAAACCATTCCCCACCTTTTTCTGAATTTTCTGTACCTAACGGCAACCCAGAATTACAGGTTTTTAGCAGCATAACACTGTTGTACAAGCTCTACTCATTTCCCAGCAGAAATCCTTCTCCTTAGGCCCTGTGCCTACTCTCTATTCAGTTCAACATTATCTCCCATTCCTCATTTTTCAGGGCTACCAGGCTTTCAGCTGTCAAGCTCACATTCTCCCCAGTAGTGGCAATGTCATCCAACATTTTACCAATACTTTTTTTTCCCCCAAAAGAATTAATGGAAATTAAAACTAAAATAACCAATTTCTAGCACTTAAAAGTCATCGCCTTGTGTGCTGAGTGACAGCCAGTGGTATCAAAGTAGTAACTGGAAAATTCACCCTTTCTTCACTGAACATTTAAAAATTGAGGTAGTCATCGTCAAACAACATGAAATACAGTGAAGACAGCAACAATATCTGTATTTTGCTTTTTTTTTTAAACTGTAATGTAACTTGCTCATGAGATAGACTTAAATTCTAAATGTAGAGGAGTAAGTATGCATGTACTTAGCACCTTTCCTTATTATGGAAATTAATTCAGGGAGCACTATGTTAGATTCTGACCAGTTTAGACCAAATCTCCTTTTTCCAGAAGTTACAGCATTTCAAAGTGAAGAAAAATATTTTTCTTAAGCCACAACACACCTTCTGTTGCTATTGTTATTCACAAACTAAGTAAAAGAAACTACAAAAATGTAATTTAAATCAGGTAAAGCAAAGACATCACTTAATTTTTGTGATGACGTGCTTTTGTTTAGATACATCATCCAAGCAGCTCTTTAAGACATTCCTACTTAAGTATTAATTAAATGTTTTTGTCACTCCATGACAAACATCTTTATTTGGTTGGAAATAAAGACAGACTCTAACTTTGTTTTAATTTTTAATAAAGTTTAAATAGTTAAAATAAGAGGAAAGAGTATGTTTTAAAGCCAGGCTATTTCTTTGTTCCATGCTAGGCCTTAAAAGTTGGATTTACTAGCAAATATAGGCCATGAGAAGAGAGCTGTATACTTAAAATGCTGGTGCTGAATATACTAAAATAGCCAGTAACTTACTCCAGCTTACCTTAAAACAAAGGAACCACAATCTTTACAGTTTAAATGTACTGTCTCTTATCCTGATTAATGGAAAAAATTATCCCTACAAAGTAACTTTTTTTTTTTTAATATGAACTCTACAAAATATTTGCTTTATCCATTGGACTGAAATTCTCCAGAATATTTAGATGTGTCTGCCTAAGAAAGTTTATAAATGCCAATCCAATACTGTAACAAAAATTCCAAACAACTGGAAATCAGAATAACTCAACCAAATAATCCTACTATAAGAATATTAAATTTCAATTCTGCATAAACACAGATCAGCACGGTTTGGTTTTAAAATTTCTTCATGATCCACAGAATACAGCACAGGTTTATTTCACTATTACCTTTTCCCTTCCATTTCCTTAATGCTATTTCCTCATTTACATTTAAAACACTATCTAATTTGTCTCCTGACTTTTTCTGTCCTTAGGGCTTTTTTAAGCTTCAATTCTATCCTCACCCAAAGAGATCCTTTCTCTTGCTTCTTAAAGAGGCTTTTGTTTGTTTGATTGATTTTTGTTTTCTTCTTTTTCAGATACAGGTAAGTATCCTACCATAAAGGGAGCATGGATATGAATAGGAACAGCACGGAGTTAACAAGACATTTGCAAGCCAAGACTTTGAGTAGAAACTTCGCTACTGTTTTTGAAAGAAAATGTCATGCTTTCTTTATATTTGATAATATTTGACATATTTGATAATATGTCTAGTATAAACATAGTCTTGTGCCACAAACAGCAGACAAAGCAATATAGCACACAGTTTGATGAATTCAGCGTAATGCAAAAAAATGGTAGAGTTCTAGTAGCAGCTGCAATGGTAACAAACATTTAGAAACCAAAGCGATCCAATAACCTAAAAATACATCTGCTAAACTCAGGAAAAATCTGTGCAATGAGATTAGAAGCTTCCAAATTTCAGACTGATTGCTCAGGGACTGCAGTAGAAAACTAAACTCAGATGTAAGGAAGTATTAGCTTGGAAAAGCCTCAGCTTTCCAAAATTCAAAATTATTAAAAAGCAATACATCTGTTCATCATTCGATGATTTAACTGTTTTCTAGTCTATGGGAATAAACAGCAGGATACAATAATTTGCAACATCCGTTTACTTTTTTTTTTTTTTTTAAAACTTTTTAAACTAAATTAAGAAAATATTTTTACAGGAAAAAAATATTTAGATGAACACAAAGAAATGCCATGACAAATCCTGAGACAAATTATCCTACGTATTTGCTAGTCTATGAAAACTGTTTTGAATAATAAACACATTGGAGTATTCAGTGACAGCATACAAAGCAAAAGTATTTGTAAATTATTAAGTTGCGCATGTTTTTAAATGACAAAACATGCTCATGAGTTTACTTTAAAATCTCTCACTGCTTGTTATCAAAGTTAAAAGATCATTTGCATACCAATACACATACTGTAAACATGAACTTCTCATTAAGGAAAGATGGGTTTACAGTAATTTGATCTTTTACAAAAAGCTATTGGTAACCGAATCTCTCAGTGTCTAACTTTCTAGAAAATTAAACCAATGTTTCCACTCTCAAAGTTGAAACACTACCTCTTTAGGAAACAGACCTGTTTATTTGTTAATCAGAAATACAATCAAGTGGCATATTTCCATTTGCTCTTCAGCTGACGGTTTCAGCTTCATTATATTTTACAAGAAAACAGGAGACTTGCAGAGGTACTGTAAATTCTTCCATATCGCAACTGATTTAATTACAGCGGTGAAGAAAAGCAGTGGTGATGCAAAATAAGATCAGCCCAATTGCCCTTATCTGATGATAGGATCTCTCTTCCTGTTTGGCTTGCAGCAGTGAGGACTTCTTGTTTCATTTTTTGGTTGTTTTTTTTTGTTGTTGTTGTTGGGTTGTTTTTTTTTTTTCTGGTCAGGCTGCCTCTGTCAAGACTGACAGAAGCAAGAAGTTGACATGCCCTTATAATTCCAGCTTGAGAATGATTCTCATGCCAATATAGCTGAGTTTCAATCAGTAGGTCGGGGAATGATACTAATGTGGAGAAAATTATCTGGATAGCTCATATGTTCACTTAGCCACTGTATGGGTGTTTCCAGCATTGGCTCAATTCCATGAATCATCACTTGAGTCTTCTGCTCTCCATCTAATTCAAAGAAAAAGAGAAACCACTAGTATACCATTCAAAGTTCACAGAAAGATTAAACATTTACTTATACTTAATTAACAGTAGATTTAACCGATGTTACAGCGTTTAACATTTAACAGAACAAAAAGCAGAAAATATTGGTATGGAGAATGCTGAGATTTCTGTCATCTAAAACAGAAACGCTTAAAATTAATTCCAAGAAAACACTGGGTTAAAATGGAACTTAAAGAAAGTGCCACTCTTCTTATTAGTTGCAAGGGTTTTTTTTCCCTACAGTGATCACAGCTTGGTGTCAACACAGTTAAGGCACATCCATCTCGCCTGGCTATAAACCATATGAATTTTACACAGATCACGCTTAAGATGTTGAGCTTCCTAAAATGTATTAATAAAGTTATATTCTTAATCCTGCAATCTCCTGGAAGAGCTGGACTACATGTAATATGCCACACATATAATATTCCTGAAGTAATTTTGTTTTGCTAAGAATAATTTACTTGTCTCTAGCAATATTTCAGACTTGCTCAGAAGGCTGAGTTGGCACCAACTTTTTCTCACTTAGTTTCATCTCTTGGAAAAGCTAAGTTAGCAAATGATTCCCAGTATGACAAGAATATTTTCTAAGAATATTTCAATTCTTTTTATTTATACTTGTCCCGGAGGATGCAAGTACTTTGATCCTTTGATTCAAATGATGGGAACCAGCTAAAGCAACTGACATAACTGTCATGAAATGAACTAAAAAAAACAAAAGATGAAAATTTATTTCAGAGCCTTGAGATGAGAAGAGCATCTGAAATATGCTTCAAATAATGGTTAGGGGGGGAAAAAAGTAGGCAGTGACCTTTTACTGTTTTTATACTATACTCTGGCATTCTCACATGGACCTACCACAGTAAAATCCACATTCAGTGCTTCAAAATATCCCTGCCTTCTCTAATCAGCATTTTATAACCCCCTCAGTTGTCTATATTACAGACCAAACCATTGCGCTGCCCAAGAGTTGCATGGAAGAGAGCAGAATGTAGAAGTGAAGGTACCAATACTAGCTCTATCAGTCAGCTACTGCAGTTGTAGCATAACTCCTATTTTATAACATAGATAAAATCTTAATTTATTTGGTAATCAAAATTATTTGACAGCTGCCTGAGGAAGTTTGTATTACACCCAGGTATCTATGCCAACACAGGCTAAATTAGACTAGGAAAAAACATCCTTGAACATGATGTTGACTTTATGCTAGTAATAATTCTTCCTGCAAAAGCAGACAGTTATGTTTGCCTAAAATAAAACATCATACATTATTTACATGTTACCTACATACAGTATCATATTCTGTACAAACTATTGATTAAATATATAAAGCCTGATTCTCTAAATGGCATAGTATAGACATTATCACACTAAATTAAGCATGAACAATTGCTGGTTTCTAGTTTTATTGCAGACAGATCAGAAGAATGCAGCATGTAATTTAAAAATAAACTTCTGGTATTTCTAACCAAAGCAGGTATTTATTGGGCTGAAACATTACCAGTCAGACTGTCAAGAGTATAAACTCCAAAAGAAAAGACTTAGAAACCAAGTTTTTTATACTGAGAAGTTAGGGAACATCTAAATATTTTTAATTTTAAGTAATTCCCAAATATATGTATTTAACACTTTTAAATTCAAATCTATCTATGGTATTCCATAAATTTGCCACAGAGATAGTGACATTTTTTTTACATTTCATAACATTTAGTTTTCAGAAACAACTAATTTGCATACACAGATGGCAGAATGCTATTTTGGCATTAGTACTGTGATAGCCACCTATATATAGCTGACTCTTCTTAGCAAAAACTTGCACAAAAAATAGATTAAAAGCTTTAGAATCTCAGTATAATTTTCTCGCCATTGGAGGAAAGGTTTTTGAGTAATAAACACTTTATCTTTTATTTCACTGTGTGACAGAACATTTTTGGATGTGTGTGCATGTGCATACTAACTTAATGCCTCTTGCTTAAAAATGAAATGCAGTTAATTTCGGTGTCCCCATTCCCTGCTCCCTACCCAACTTCCTCCCTTTCTCATACAGATCTTTTATTCTGTTCCTCAGCAAACTGAGAAAGTCTCAGAGGTCAATGTAGAATTTACAGTTTAATTAAAGTCTAAATCTCTGCATTAGCATTGTTTGTCCTTTAGTATTATCTCTGACAAAGCATCACTTCTCCTTAATGCCTTTTCCCCTTGAGGCCTGACTAAAGAGATCTTATCTACCAATTCTGTATTTACTGTAGCAGCCTTTCTCAAAATCCATTGTTTTTACTTCAGCATTCTTCCCTCCTTTTGTTACTAAAGACCATAAACTCTCACTTAAGTCACATTTATCCAAACTTTCCTCAACTTTCCTGTTTTCAGTAACCTCCCCATTTTGAATCACATTCAGAGCCTCTCTCCTATAGATGGCTCCTCCACTTTGTGTAGCAAAAAGTTGTCAACAGCAAATACACTAAAAAAACCCCTAGAAAATATTATTCTTTTCTCAACAGACATCTAATTTTTATCCATCATTACCACTGTGATCTGGGTTCTGGATGACTTGCTAGCTGTCAGGAAAGCTTCAGCCACCTGATATGTAGATATAATAGATTTACAAAACATTTTTCCTTTCATTACTGTTCATAGTCTTAAGAGCTTATTGATGCATCTTGACACATCAAGTGCTATCCTCTTTTTTCCCAACCCATATGCTATGATAACAAGAAGTCTTTTTAGACTGACAAAATGCCTCTATAGAAGTGTGCAGATTGCTAAACACAAAATCCATTTAAATGACTGTTGTAAGATTTAAATGACTTCATTACAAAGATCAATGCCATTCTGTGTCATTGGACCAGGCCTATAAAAATTAGGGCAAATAACTCTGCTCATCTGTAGGGCACAGGGTCCAGACATGATAATATCATTATTGTCAGTGCCCATTTTACAATATTCAGTAATGTAGTAAAAAAACCCCATGATTTCCTCAAAAACAAGAAGTTAAAATTTTCCAGTCACCTCATTGACTTTTTTTTCCCTTTTAAGATCATGATAGAACTGAGTTACATGTTAGCTATCATATGCCCTAAAGATGGTTTCTTTTACTTTGTTACAGGTTAATCTCAGGAAGATGATGAAGTGGAAGTATCAGAAAAATAAAAGCATAGAAATACAGGTTTCATAGGCAGTTTTTATGTGTGTGCATAGTAACTATTTACTTAAAATCAGAGTATTTTTATTACTGAAGTGATGCACAAATAAATACTATTTTGGCATTTACCAAAAAAAGCAAGCCTCAAAACCAATGGAGTGGTTGTCCGATGCCGAAATAATTTTTCTTTGCTTTCCTTGTGGAAATCCACAAATACAGAAGGCACTACAGCCTCAAGAAGTCACTACTGGCAAGTGATAAGCACATATTATAAAGATTTCTGGCAAAATTTAACAATATTTTGTCTCCAGAAAGCAAATAATTATGGTTACATGTTGTGCACTAAGACATTGTTGAGACATTTCGGATCACTTAATTCAGACACTAACTCAAAAGGCTACAACACTTAAACTAGGTATCTGACCCAGGCTAATAAATCGTACCATATCAATTCAGAATAGTTTTCCAACTCTGTCCATAAAATGGAGAGAAACAGGCAGCTCTCAAGTGAAGGGTTTAAGAAGTCTGCTTCTCCATCATCTATAAGGTGCCTCAGTGTTCTGATCAGGAAACCACCATGATCCAGCCAAAGAAAGTATTGGCAAAGGACTGTCTTTTGCAAATAGGCATCTGCTGAAGGTAAGCAAGAGATAATGGCTATTGCATCTCAACAGTCCTTGAGGCAGTGGCTCAAAGCACACCTCAACCTAAGGCAGCTTGAGTCCACTCTCCCTTCTTTAAGAGTGTCCTAACTACTACAATATTTACTGCTAATTCCAAGATTCCTCTGAAAACCCTTAATGTTCAAGAATCAGTGAGACACAGAGAAAGAATAAAGGAGAGGAAATCTGTAGTCTTTAGAGAAGGTAGGAAGACGTGCAATGTCATGGTATTACATGATAACGTTTTCTATTTCCTTTAGCTATAAGTTATTGCTTGCAGAGTAAACCACTCAATATTAGGAAACAAAAGTATTTAATTAGCTGATTAAGCATCAATTCAGATTGTTACATATACCCCTGCTGCAACCTACATACTTTTTTCTACTGAATTATCTTCTTATTTAGAAAGGAAGAATTAAAGATGGAGGGAAAAGAAGAGATTGTTTTTGAGATGGATTCAAGCACTTCAGAACAGTGAGAAGGCACTACTTCTGGCAAAGGTACATATTTCAGCCATTTTGCGCTGAGATCAGCACCACAATACTCACACCAATGCTGCACCTACATACCCTCTTTCACCTACAGCCAGACTACATCTGTGATGCACCACTTAAAATTCTTTAGTGGAAACAACTCCTTTCTGATTTGTGGCCTCTAGCAGTCACCTGTCAGGGCAATTTAGCTGGCTTAAATTCTCTCACTGACAGACAATACAAGATATTCAGGATTTAGCAAAAATGTCCCTAGAGTACTTTGATTAGAATCCTCTGAATGCAAGTCCTCTGCACAGCAAGTCCCAGAACCTGCCTGTAGTCATCAAAATGGACAATGCAGAAGCCACAGCTTCTTACTCAGGGCAGCACCACTTAAAAAATTGGCTTTAAAACCCTAAAAAGGGAAATAGAACCCTGTGCTTCAAAGCAGGAGCAAACAATGCACTTCTTGCATGATACAAGGCCACGGGACTATATTGGACAAGGACACTAAAAAGTGTAAAGAGTAACTATAAGCAAAGTGTTCTAATGTTCATAAGGCTGCTACTGGTAGACTAGTTTCCAGCTGTGAAGTGAGCCATAAACATTTGCTTGCTTATCTTCAGAATAGATCGTATGTTTTGGATTAGATGATACTAAAGGTATTCCTGCCAATAGGTTATACCA